TTAAGCAAATTACAGGCAATTCCACCCTGGAAAGCCCATAGATACCTGAAGATAAATAATGGTCTGAGTTGTGTTATCGCTGTCTCCGCTCAGTCCCAAGATTTCGCACCAAAGTGACGCGATTCGGCCTAGATAGCCACACTTACAGCCAGACCTGTGCTTACACAAAACCAGTTGAACCGTGCCTTTAGTATACTACACAAAACTCACTAATAACCAATTAAGCTATCATATGTCAAGGCCTAAATGTAAACATTTATCTAAGAACTCAAGATTAAATACTCAAAATGAACCATATAGAGAATTTCTCCTTCAAAATAAAAGAGAAACATGCAACAGTACAATGGCTAATGACTCTGCTATTGATCATGGGTCCGAGAGGAAGCAAGACTTCCTAACACAGAAAGTGCACCTTCTCTTTAAGGATTATTTCAAAGAAAAAAAATTGGTAAACAACTAAACAGTTAAAATTACAGCATTACCTTAATTTCTACTCATCCTTGATGAGTAGAAATTAAAATCAAGTCTATCTTGAAGTATTGCATTTGGTTCTTACAGTCCTGTTATTCATTGGTAACTCCCCTCAATGGGCACCAAGTTCTATTCCCCATCACTGTGTTACACCTGTCACACACTGGCAGGATTTTTTCCTGTGACTTTTCATCCTGAATGTGATGTATGTAATGTCCAATACTATATCAGGTACTTTGGGGCAAATTTCCTCTGGCCACACCCAGTGTTATCATTGAGCCAATCAAACGCTTGATTTTTTTTTTTCGCTTCTATCTTTTTGTGAATAAAATGTTGAAAGTGCAAAGCAGTAATTCTGTAATTTCATATCATGATTAATCCAGCCAAACCCTAAATCCTTCCTCTTCCCTCCACACACCATACTATTACCTATCAGAGTTACCTCCTGATATATCTTAATCTTTATATCATCTATTTATCTAGATATTTATGAATAGGCTACATATAGATAAACATTTTAATTCTTATGACAAAAAAATTTCATACATTTTCAACTTTATGTTTACCAAGATAATGAAAATGAAATACATTTCCTGATCCATAAACTTCCTCTTCAAATTACTGCTACCAAAACATCATGTAGCTTTTCTTTTAAGGGGGGGGGGGGGGTCAAATTGAGTTAGCTAGCGTATAGTATAGGGACAAGGATGAGGAAATTACCAAAGGAGTATTAAAGCTCAGCTGTGGCTAGCTCTCTTGCAGTCAACACGAGACCTGCGAAACACCTGGGGAACGCCCAGGGACACCTATGTGGACTTTTGCTAGTTGGAATCACGCATACGGCATTTGATTATGACATTGTTCATAGATATGAGTTTGTGAATGTTCAAAGAACACTTTTATACCAATATCAAAAAAATTATATCACAGTGATATATCATGAAATATTTTGTGAAATATATCTAAAAAAAAACTTAAGTATTGTGTCTTTTTACACACAAAACATGCTTCCATCGAGACTCCCTAGTAATATGTTGTAGCTTACAAAGTGATCTGTACGTATATATAGTATGAAGCCCTAATAATTGAAAATAGCCGTACAAGGATAGAAATATTTCCATTAGACTCTGCTCAACGGTTGGTACATCACAGCATCAGTAAATTTGATTTGATTTTAAATTGGTCGTTACCGATGTAGATGGCAATTCAATACGAAGGGTACCTAAAAGTCAGAATTTTGAATTTCCGATGTATAAGCGAGATACTGATTATTTCATATTGAAAATTATAGTACACAGTAATGTCCGCTCTGAAATAAAAACTATGTGGAATTTTGAGCTCCTTTGAATGTCCAGTCTTTGTCTAGAGTTGAAAAAGCTATTGTATCTGTTTCTTGTGTTCCTGATAAAAAATATTACGTTTAGACATTACCGTAGGTACCATAAATTTGCGAATATCCAACCACACCTAGGCATCTGCATTATTTTATGCACCACTTAGTAAAGGGTGTAAATGGCTAATCAACAATTCTACTCATTTCCCATTGCAATCTGTTACTACTGACAATTATCGAAGAAAACAGCTTTTAGGGATAACTAATAAACTTTATTCCTTTAGATATAAAAGTCACTGTAGGCCTACTAAATGAGGATGATTTTTTAACTTTATCTACGTTCCGTTCCCCTGTGTGGAGCATGGGAAAAATTCAACTTCTTTGGTAAGTTCTTGAATTCCATGTACTAAATACATATGCTTTTAAAATTCTCAAAATTGAACTGCCATATATTCATTCTAGCACTTTATAACTTGGATGCTTTGTACTGATATTGCCATCCACAGTTCTTAAAAAAAAGAAAAAAAAAAGAGAGAAAAAAAAAAAGTTTTATCTGGTTTAGACTAGGTGTCTCTATGATTCAATGTATTTATCAAACTTTTCAGACAAAAATGTCTACTTTTATATCATATCTATCATATTACATACGTTTATTGGAAAGTGTCCCTATTGACAATGATAATTCTGATTGACTTGATCATTGCATCACAAAGTACACTAAATAAGCTTTTTTTTTATATATATAACATCATTAGACTTAGAGAAAAATAACAGAGATAACGAACTTTGGCAAGCAGCCAATATATAAAATGCCATATCTCTGTTCTTTGTTTACATTACCTTCTGTACATCACCATGCTTGTAATTTTCGTGCATTCAAGGAAATTCCCCAGGTCAGTCCCCTTAAAGATGGGTGGACAGAAGAGCTAAAGGCTCTGCAGTTCTAAGGGGTTAACATTTTCTAATGAAAATAAAAATAACTACAAACAAATTACTATGGTTGAAAAGAGCAAACCAGCCATCTCAACAATTGATTGATAATTTGCTGGAGGTAAACTGTTCACCTATCTATTTACAATAATTGTTAAACAAGATTACTATGTAAAATACACTTACCCATTCATACATTTATAGCTTAGTAAGGAGCATACTTAAAATGTACATACATACATACATACATACATACATATATACATACATACATAGACATAAATAAATCCATATATATATATATATATATATATATATATATATATTATACATATATATATATATACATATACATATATATATACATATACATATATATATATACATATACATATACATATATATATATATATATATATATATATATATATACATATATATAATATATATATATATATATATATATATATATATATATATATATATATATATAATATACATAATATACATACATATATATATATATATATATATATATATATATATA